GTGATCCAGAAGACTTCAGTCTCAAAGGATATGACATTGCTGCTAAAGCAATAGTTGAACTGAAAGACAGCTCGTACCGTCTGATATTTGTGGGGGCACCAGAAGGAAAAGAGGAGGACGTCGCAGAGAACTTGATACAATGTGGAATCTCAAAAAATCAACTGGTCGTTAGGAAATTTGTGCAGAATAAGGAAAGATTGAAGGAGTTGTTTTGCGAGGCGGACCTTGCCATCATGCCCTCCAGGACGGAGGGTTTTGGACTAACTGCGCTGGAAGGCTTGTCTGCTGGTCTTCCCATTCTTGTGAGTGGAAACTCGGGTTTTGGAGATGCACTGCGTTCGTTACCANTGGACTGACTGCGCTGGAAGCCTTGTCTGCTGGTCTTCCCATTCTTGTGAGTGGAAACTCGGGTTTTGGAGATGCACTGCGTTCGTTACCATTAGGCAAGCCATTTGTGGTGGAGTCAGCTGAGCCTAAAGAGTGGGCCAAAGCAATCAAAGCCGTCCGTCTGAAAGACCGAGGAGAGCGGCTGCAAGAGATTCAAAGACTGCGAACAAGTTACGAAGATACTTTCAGCTGGGAGAAGCAGTGTGAAGCTCTTGTTCAAAAAATGTGGCGATTGATTGATGGTAAGACTTTCATTCGTCGCGTAGTTTTCTCTTTGGGTCCAATATAATGGAATTGTTCAGACGGAGTTATTTCAACACATGCCGTTTGGAAAGTAAAGGCTAGGTTTTTCTTGGCCTTATTCTCGAAAAGTGGTGTACATTTTATGAAAAAGTTTTTTCAAGATGAATGTAAAAAATACAATGACGTTAAAGGCCTTTGAACGAAAATATTCGAAACAATAAAAGACAAGTTCTCTAGATGACAAGTTAAATCAATCGCGTGCACAACATATGGTACCAATTCATTCCACAGAAGACATTTCGCAGTCGCCAAATGTAGAGGGTTTCTTGAAATATTTGATACCACTCTTATAAGCAATGTATAAATTTCATACGTGGGAGAAATCTTGTCATGCGAAAGAGATTTGTGTGAAAGATGTGAAGCGCTTAGTTTTCGGAGCCAATGTTTTGGAAAGTTTATCAGAGATATGAAAACAAGTCTAATGTAATTTCTGTATATACGAAGACGATTGCTTTAATTTTCATTTGAAAATACAAACAGACAACAGTTATCCACTGGATAATGATTTGACCGGTGGATTGCGTTATCTGCCCTTTGATCAAATGGCCCCTGTTATCCATATTTTTCATAGTTTTTCTTGAACTGGACGCAAAGTTCAACGATCTAGGGATAACACTCGTTTTACAAGCGAATCCCTGCATCAAAGATTTGCCAATCCTATGTAAACAGAATCGGTTCTGATGGCTAGTATCTTTTTCTTCATTACTGCTGAGAAGTTTTGGTTTAATTTGGACTGTCAATAAGTTATTTGTCCCCTCAAATGAAATCTTCTTTATNTTATTTGTTACATACACTGTTCTCTCTCACAGGTTAACAAGGCTAGACCGCTTCACTGTGGCGATACATGACTCAAGAAACTCCTGAGGAAACAATGAACTGTTGCAACTTTTTAAAACTGAAGGAAAGAATGCGTTTGCCGGAAGAACTTTATGTTATCTTAACATGCACATTGTGTAGCACAGGTATTATACAACTGGGAAATAAGTTTAAAAGCGTAACTTCTAACATCAATGTCAGTTGAAGCCCGCCTCAAGAGCACTCAGTCAGCGCGATCAACTCATTATTACGGGCACTTCTTTTGACCAGAAGAAAACGCCTAGTCAGTCATTTTCTTGTTATTTTTTTTAAAGAATGCCTTGAATACGACCACACTATTATGATTTAGTTGTAGTGATAGTAACGGGATTCCACTGTATAACCTCTTAGAATGCTGAGACGTTATCATTCAGAAGTAGCTTAAAGTTTTACGTTTTTTCTACACGAAGTCTTTGCAAAACATTCCAAAAGACGGGTGCTTTGATGATATATTTTTCACGCAAAGTATTAACACTTTTTAGTTTAAGAATTTATTGTATAGTGTAGCTGTCGCTAAGAATTTAAGTTTACACTCTGTGTTTCGGAAAAGGTCAAACATTTTCATAAAAGACCTACATGTGATAATGTAAAAGGCAATTATATTA